GCAAACAAGACAGACAGGTCTCTGCTTTCATGGAAGTTTCATTCTGCCAAGAGAGTACCAAACAAAAATTTAAGTCAAAACAACTCAACTGGTGCTCCTGGACTATTCTAGGATTTTTTTCTTGCCTGTTTTTTTCTCTTCCTTGCATAGAGATCTATATGTGGTTCCACAGGAACTAAGCACTGGGCTCTGAGTTGGAAAGCCCGAGTTCCATAGGATTCTGGCTCTGCCACTTCAAGCTGGGTGATCAAGTTGGCCAACCTCTCTATGTCTTATTTTCTTCTTCTGTAAAATGGGGACAATAATAGAGGTTTAGTTAGGATCAAGGGGTTAGCACAGAATCCCCAGATAATAATCACTCGATGAAAATCTGCCATTGGGGGTACCTGGGTGGCTCAGTGGGTTAGGCCTCTGCCTTCGGCCCAGGTCATGATCTCTGGGTCCTGGGATCAAGCCCTGTGTCAGGCTCTCTGCTCGGCAGGGAGCCTGCTTCCCCTCCTCTCTCTCTGTCTGTCTCTCTGCCTACTTGTGATCTCTGTCTGTCAAATGAATGAATGAATCAATCAATCTTTGGGGAAAAAAGAGAAAATCTGCCATTGTTCTTTTCTGTATCTGCTACCCCTTCTACTTTTTACTCTAAAGCATCCTCTTCCAGTGCACAGCCACCCATTTTCCCTCCCCCATAAAAATGATGGGGGGGGCGCGCCTGGGTGGCTCACTCCTTAAATGTCTGCGGTTCAGGGTATGATCCCAGAGTCCTGGAATCGAGCCCCACATCAGGCTCCCTGCTCAGCGGGAAGCCTGCGTCTCCCTCTCCCACTTCCCCTGCTTGTGTTCCCTCTGTCTCGCTGTCTCTCCTCTCTCTGTCAAATAAATAACTAAAATATATTTTTTTTAAATGATGGAGGGACAAGCTTAATGTTGGGAAATTTCTACCTTTTCATATTTTTTTCCCTTTGGAAATTGTAAAGAGACTCTCGTATACAATTTTAGCAGATCCCCTAGGTTCAGCTCATAGAATTCCAGTCTGCCATTGGGATGTACTATATTTTTTTTTTAATATTTTATTTATTTGAGAGGGAGGTAAAAAGAGAGCACACAGGCAGTGGGAGTAGGAGAGGGAGAAGCAGGCTCTCTGCTGAGCAGGGACCCTGATGTAGGGCTCGATCCCAGGACCCTGGGATCATGACCTGAGCTGAAGGCAGAGGCTTAACAGCTGAGCCACCCAAGTGCCCCTGCCATTGGAATATATATTGCTCACACATTTGAATATGTTAACTACTTTTTATAGGAGTTCCTCCTTTGCCTGAAGGTGATTTTGTAATTTAGCATAACTTTGGAGAGGAAGGATACTGTAAGACACACCTGTCGCCTAAAAGCTAATGACTAAACAACCATTTGATTATTGGAGGCTCACAGATATTAACCAGGGTAAGTTTAATAGGACATATTCCTTTTATGGTTCTCCAGTCTTATCAGGCTGGGAAGGTATGTGATGGCAACAGAAGACCTAGGTACAGGAGAGCAAGGATAGCTTCTCTCTTTCTTTCTCTGTAGTACCTGGCATAGCACCCAGCTTGTTCATTCCCTGGCATACAGTAGAACCTCAATCAACACTACTTGCCAGCTGTGTGATATTGGGCAAGTTATTTAACTCCTTTGACCCTCAGTAGCCAATAAATACTACACTTACTTAGAAGGGTTTGTGTAAGGAGAAAATGAGCTAATATTAGTAAAGCCCCACTCAGTGCCTGACGCCCGAAGTTGGTTCTCTTCCCCTTTCACTTCTTGTGTATTTCGTACCCACCCCTGACCTGATTATAAGTTACTTGAATCAGGGACTTTGCCCAATGCCTAGCATGTGACCTCACACATAGTGATAGCTTCAATTTATTTACTCACTCAGTGAATCTTTGAGTACCTACAATGGATGAAAGCTTGGAGTTGATAGAGAGCTGGCGCATTCAGGAACCCCAAGTAATTGAATATGACTGAAGCAGAGACTTCCAGGAGGAAATGATGAGAAAGAGCTAGACTGGTTAGCCTGGATTAACTCTCAAAGGGCTCTGTAGGCCTTATAGGAATTTTGGACTTTACCCTTCAAGGCAGAGGACTGCCACTGAACCAAGGAGTGGCAAAATTTTTTTTTTTTTTGTTTTTACTTTAGAATGGTTTGTGGTTCTCAGACCAGTGTGTGTTAAGAATCATCTGGGTGGCGGGGGGGGGGGGGGGAGAATCATCAGGGAAGCTTGTTAAAAAGGGGGGATTCTAGAGTACCTGGGTGGTTCAGTTGTTTAAATGCTGGCCTTCAGCTCAGGTTATGATCCCAGGGTCCTGGGATTGAGTTCCACATCCCTCTTCCTCTCTCTGTGTCTTTCATGAATAAATAAATAAATAAAATCTTTCCAAAAAATGGGGGATTCCAGAGCCACACTGCCCAAGAATATGCATTTATTTTCTTACAAATATGCATTTAAACTGGTACTCTAGGGTCACCCATCTGCCTCAGTTGGTAGAGCATGCAACTTTTTTTATCTCTGGGAGGTGAGTTCAAGTCCCATGCTGGGAGTAGAGCTTGCTTAAAACAAAACAAAACAAAAACAAACAAACAAAAAATGGTACCTTAGATGCTTCTGAGCCACTCAAATATACAGGCACAAGAGGAACTTACCTTACAAAAACAATAACAAAACAGGAGGCTATTGCAGTAGTCTCGGGGTAAGCTGACTTGAATTTAGGCTTCCCCTGCCCACCCTGATTAGCCTGTCTTTCATGTAGGGCCTTAAGCCTCCTCTTCCCCATGAAGGATCAGCTGGAAGTCCAGCAAATGCAGATGGGCTCGGAGACCAGACAGAGCCTGAAGAGAAGCAGCTAGATTTGGTAGGTATTTAGAAGGTGGAATAGACTGGACTCGGAGATCCATTGCATGGGGAGGTGAGGGGGTGAGGGTGAAGAAGAAAAAGAAGTCAAGGAAGCCCCCTGGCTCTCCGGCCTAGAGGAGCAACAGTTGTAATGGTGTGCCATTCAGTGAACCAAGAACTCAAAGGAGAAAGGCAGTGGGTTCCCAGAAGGTGAAGTGAGGAATTTTAGTTGAGATTTGCTGAGTTTGATGTGCCTCTGGGACATCCAAGTGGGGATTTTCACAGGTTGGTTGGATTTGTGGGTTGGATGCTCAGAGCAAGACCTAGTTTAGAAACACATATTTGAGAATCCTTAGCTAATAGGTGGTGATAGAAGGTGGGTGAAATCATCCCAGGAGAGGGAATAGAATGATAAGAGAAAAGGATCTAAAACACAACGCATGGAACATTTAAGGGAAGGCCTGAGTAGGAAAAGAATTGCAAAGGGATCAAGGACAGGCCGGAATCAACAGCCCAAAGTCACAAGCAGGGGATTCCGAGCAGTGAGGATTGGGGAAGCACACTGGATTCCGCACAGAGGTCTGTGGTGACCTTGCAGAGAGCATTTCTAGGGGAGCTCCGGGGACAGCACCAGGCTGCAGTGGATTGAGGAGTGAGTGGGAGGTGAGGGAGTGGAGGCAGCTGGCATGGACAGTTTTTCAAGATGTTTGGCCAAGAATGGAGCGAGATATGTTGGTAACTTAAGAAGGAAACAGAATGGAGAGAGGCTTTTTCTATGCTAAGGGAGGAGTGGAAGAAAGCATAAAGACGAAGGGAATAATAAAACCTACCTAGAGTAGAGGGAGGAATCCACTGCCTTGAAGTCAGGATTGCTCCTAAGACAGGAAGGACCTACTTCTATTTTCTAACCTGACTGATTGGTCTGGAAGCTCCATATTGGGTGGTTCACTGTCAGGGATCCTGTTTCCTCTTGGAGGCTGGGACCCAGGCCATGAGTAAGGAGTTTGTAGGATGAACATTTTTTCCTCAGCTAGCAAAGTACGGATTTACCAGCAAGAAAGGAGTAGGCACCGCACTGAAGCAAGAGCCCGGTGGGAAGCGCGTTGAGGCTGAAGCTTTGAAATTCAGAGGATGAGATGCTGAGTGAGTGTGATGTTCCTCCAACCATGTAGAAAGCTGCATTTGGGCCACCAACAAGAGGGTTTTTTCCCCAGAACCTCATGCTAAGGCTTTGACTTAGGCTCCCCCTTCCTGCTCTAGTCAGCCTGCCTTCCCCAGCCTGAGTCTCAGGTCTAGGCCTCAAGCCTCCTCGTCCCCACCGAGGACCAGCTGGAAGCCATTTTGATTAAGCTCCACCACAGAAGGAGGACAATACAGCCCCGCCCAGAGCCAGGCGCGCCCCCGCGGCGGGCCGGGTGCGCGTGTCCGCGCCTCTTCCCGCCGGCCTGGCGGGCGCCGGGCCCAGGCCGGGGCGGTGCGAGGCGGGGGGTGGGGGTGGTTATGTAAGCGTTGCGCGCTCCCGCGAGGCGGCAACCAATGGGAAGCCTCGGCGGCTCGTGCTCGCGCACGCAGGGTGGGGGGAGGGAGCGCACGACGTGCGCGCGCCCTCTCCCTCCTCCACCGCTGCCGCCTCCTTCTTCTGCCGCTCCTGGTGCTGCTTGTGTGCTCGTTCGGTGCGGACCTGGTACCTCTTTTGTGAAGCGGCAGCTGAGGAGACTCCGGCGCTCGCCATGGCCGACGAAAAGCCCAAGGTGAGCTCGGCGCCGGCTCCCTCGGCTCCCCGCGCGGTCGGGGTCACGGCGCGGGCCGGGGTCCGGCCTGAGCCCGCCGCGGGCTCCCCGCGCCTTCCTGGGCCCCCCACGGGGCCGGCCGCGGCTCAGGCCCGGGCGCTCCGCGCCATTTTCCTCCCTCCCCTCTTCCTCCCTCCCGCGCGGGAGGAGGCCCCGCCGCCCTCCCCCGCCCCCGGCCGCCTCGGAGTGCGCGCCGGGCGCGAGTAGGGCGGGCGGATCGCGGACGCCCGCGGCCCCACCGGCCGCGAGCGGAGCTCCTCGGGCCCGGCCAGCCGGGCGCGCGTGCGGAGGGGCGTTAGGGCGCGCGGTGTCCCCACCCTCCGCGGACCCCGCGCGGAGCCGTGGCGGGTGTTGCCGCCTCCGCGGTGGCGGGGAGTTCCCTCCGCTCCGGGCTTTCCCTGCAGAGATGGGGGGCTGCGGGCATCTGGGGACCCCTGCCCCGCGCCGCGCTGGCCTGGCGAGGGCTCGAGGAGAATCAATGGGCTGCCGATGGGTTCCCCATCGGGCCGTCGTGAAGGGTCGGGGGTTCCGGGATTCCCGGGGAGTATTTCCCACTTTCCCGGCTTCGGGGTCCCCAGGGGGCTGGGCAGGGGTTTTTCCGTTGGTGCCAGATCACCCCTATCCTGGCGAGACCATGCGGTTTCGAGAAGTTGCAGGCAGAGGGGAGAGCAGAAAGACTTGGTCGGGCTGAACTTTTTAACGCGGGTTTTGAGGCAGCGGGAGGCTCTTCCCGTGAGGACTGAGGCTCACACGTCTTCCTGGCACACGGCACTTTGGTAGGGTTTGTTCTGTGACATCCCCCGCCCCTTCCTTTCTGAAGTGACTTGGGGGCTACAGAATCCCATCAGCCCTTGATTTTGGCGAACTTCAGGTTGGGTGGAAATCTACGAGGAAGACTTGGAAGAAAACGGCATTTGACCCATGACAACAAAGGGGAGGGGAGAATACGAGCCCTTAACTGAAAATAAACAAAAGTGAGGCTGCTAATAGAGGCGAACAGGAATAGTGGTTCTGAGTTATTACCGCTGCTTCAGAGAGAATCGGGGGATATTCCTCAGTGAGGTTTTTTTTTAAATGTAGTTGAGATATGTTATTAAACTGAGTTTAGTAACTTTTTAACAAGACCGTTGTAATGAGTTTTCAAATGCAAGGTCTAGATTTTTATCCGTGCGTTCTGTATTTGATAAAGAGAAAAGATGGTATTTTAATCTTTTTAAGGGAAATGACATATTTTGGGGGGATAAAATATGTCATTTTAGAAAATTCAGATACAGGGGTACCTTTCAGTGCATTGAGTGGGACCCATCTTTAAAAATCGATGGTGATCGCTGACGGTATTGCATGTAGTCTGCTTTTCTGTTTCTGTGACAGCTATTTAGTATCGTTGCTCCAGGATTTTCCATCTTTCAGATTGATTTCAGCCGCTGAAAACAGCTGTATGCTCTTTTATCATAGAGAATGAGAAACCTGTTGATTTCTGAAGCAAGTTGGGCTGCTGCTACTTTAAAAGGTGTTTGTTTTTCACATTTTCCAAATTATACTTTTATTTTTCTTTCAACAGGAAGGAGTCAAGACTGAGAACAACGATCATATTAATTTGAAGGTGGCGGGGCAGGATGGTTCTGTGGTGCAGTTTAAGATTAAGAGGCATACACCACTTAGTAAACTAATGAAAGCCTATTGTGAACGACAGGTGAGGAACTGACATATGCACTTCCAATAAAACTTATTAAGAAAAACTTAATTTTCTTGAGAATAGAAACTAGACTGGCATAATATAATTATCTTTGGTTGAATGAATGCATTTATATACTTCACATATCACTTCTGTCCTACGCTTGGTATGTTGATGCTTCATAAAACCCTTAGGATGGTTTGGTTAATATTCTGTATGATTCTAGTCCTATGCCAGAATTCATCAAATTATAGTCACAACATGCAATTTGTTCCCCAGGGGACTTGATTCTACTTTGATAAGAGTATAAGCATGAACTTGATAAAATTTCATCTCAGGCTCTTTTTTAATTTTTTTAATCCATTTAGAATTTGTGTCCTGTCAGAACAGTTTGTTTTGAGCATTTAAACCAATTTGGAAATAAAATTAAATTGTGAGTTTAACAACATTGCAATTTTCCTGAAGCATGTAAAATTGGTAGTATTTTCTTAACTAATGGTAGAGGTCAAGAAACTTAACCTCCTGAGTCAGGCAAAAACATTCCTATGTTATAGGGACACTTGGGTTTTACTCAGAAATTAGTAAATGGACAGCAAGAAGAGGAAGTAGAGATGAATAGATGCTGGGAGGTGAATGCAGGGTTTAAGACAAAGAAGCTTCCTTTTGTGAGGTTGAATCTGTAACAATAAAGAGGTAACTTTAAAGATGACTTTTGCAAGTCTAACAAAAACTCTGATACGTTTATCAGTTAATAATAACCTGGTAGAAGGGTTTTTTTTGTTTGTTTGTTCTTTTTTGTTTTTTTTTCAACTTTTTTTCAACTCTGAATGCATACCATTAAAGTTGGGAAAGTCATTTTTTTAGACTAAAACAAGTTGTCTGCAATGCAAATTGCCTTAAAAATAGGCTCAAAATAGAGTAAGACTTAAACCTGTAGAAGTTGGAAAAAAAAAAACAACTGTGGAAGTTGGGAGATTGAGTTTGAGCTGATACTTGTTGGACTTCTTGCATGAGCTCTAAGGCCATTTGGAGGAAACTGAAGATAAACTTCATTTTGAGATTGAAGCTTTATTTTATGCATAATTTATTTGTAATAGAACACTGTGCTTATAGGATTCTTTTAGTTTTGTATGTAAACTAATCCTATAATTCCTTAAAAGATAATGATTTTCAGTGTATCTTATTTGAAGAATTTTGGTAAAATTCCTTGGAACAACTAATAAATATGTACTTCCTACTTGTGCCAAAGAATTTTTTGCTCTAGCATCTTCCATATTTGAACACTAGTGCCCCTTCAGGTTACAGGGGAATTTTAAAAGGTAATCATCTTGTAGAACTTTCACATAGCACACTTCTTACAAAGTAGAAACTCATGCTTAGGTTTAGTGGTTTTCAACAAAGTTCTCAGCATATCTTTTTACTAAATTCTAGATTTTAAATCGTCACACATTTTTTAAAGGGTCCTATTTTTCAAAACTTATTATGGAAACTCAAATGTAGAGCAAAGTTGAAAAAACTTTACATTGAATACCCGTATGCTTACCACCTAGTTTAACCATTAGCATTTTACTAGACATATCTATTGATAACCTCTATTAATCCTAAAAGTTCATATTTAAGTTTTCCTTTATTTCCTGTAGGGGCCCCAAAGGATCTTTTTACTTATCTGATACTTATCAGATGCCTACCATGTGATGGGGCATCATACTGTGCACCAGAAAAATGAAGACATATAGTACATCCCATATGGAGATTGTCTTTATAAGCACCTGGGTGGCTCAGTTGGTTGAGCATCTGCCTTTGGCTCAGGTCATGATCCCAGGGTCCTGGGATTGAGCCCCGTATCAGACTTTCTGCTCCTCCAGAAGCCTGCTTCTCTTCTCCCCCTTCCCTTGCTTGTGTTCCCTCTCTAGCTGTGTCTCTCTGTCAAATAAAATCTTTATTTAAAAAATTTTTAAAAATAGAAGAAATTGTTCTGTAGGATTGAGTTAGTGGGTCAGTCAAGAATTAGGCAGTTTTCCTGGTATGTTAAAATTTAGTATATTACTCATGTAAATAAAGTTTTTCTTGAATTTTCTCAGTTAGGTTTAAGTTGACTAAACTTGGGGCCACTCTTAATTTGCACTAGGGGAAAAGCATTGGTAATCCATTAAAAATATAATTCCACTGCATATCACTTGGAATGCAAATATAATTTGAAGATAAGATTCAGGAAGATTTGGAAAGATTAGTTCCCTTTTTCTTTTAAAGATTATTTATTTATTTATTTATTTGACACAAAGAGAGAGAGAGAGAGATCACAAGTAGGCAGAACAGCAGGCAGAGAGAGGGAAGCAGGCTCCCTCCGTAGCAGAGAGCCCGATGCGGGACTCGATCCCAGGACCCTGAGATCATGACCTGAGCTGAAGGCAGAGGATCAACCCACTGAGCCACCCAGGTGCCCCCCCCCCATTTTCTTTTTAGGTGTGGGTATAGCCTCTCAAAAGTCTAGAATATTTACTTAATTTAATTTGCATAGCTAAAGGGTTGTTTTGTTTGTTTTGGACAGTTGAGGATTCTTGACTAAGGATTTCCTATCAAGATTAATTGAATGCTCATATTTATTTTCTAATGAACTCAGTTGGATCTTTGGAGGAGTTCCAGTAGCTGTATGATAGGCATCTCAAAAGTGCATGTGCAAAAGACTTTTTTTTTTTTTTAAGATTTTATTTATTTGACAGATCACAAGTAGGCAGAAAGGGAGGAAGGGAAGCAGGCTCCCTGCTGAGCAGAGAGCCCAATGCAGGGCTCCATCCCAGGACCCTGGGATCATGACCTGAGCCGAAGGCAGAGGCTTTAACCCACTGAGCCACCCAGGTGTGCCCCCCCCTTTTAAAAAAGATTTTATTTATTTATTGAAAGACTCTTGATTGCGCTCCTAGAAATCTTTTTCTCCGGTATCCCCACTCAGTAAATAGCACTATGTTATATCTAGTTGGGAGGTCAAAACCTTGGATCATCCTGGATGACGCTTTATAACTCCTATAAAATCCATCAACAAATTCTGTTCTCTATTTAAACCTGTGCTGTTCAGAACAGTAGATAACAAGCCATGTGTGACTGCTCATCTCCTGAAACATGGCTAGTCCAAATTAATATGTGCTGCAAAGTGTACAATATGTGCCCGATTTTGAAAACTCATAGTGGGAAAAGTAAAATATCTAAATTTTTCAAATGTCAGTTACATGTTAAAAGGATTTTTAACATATTGATTTAAAACATTAAAATTTTACCTGATTTTAATGTGGCATTTAGAAAAATTAAAATGATGTGTAGCTCACATAATAAGATTTCTTTTGGATAGTGCTGAGCCCTTAGCCATTTTATTCCACTCCTGGTTGATTACTATCTTTGGAGACTTTTCTGATTAATTCACAGTGCTTCTGTTCCCATCACTCGGTCCTCTCACTGTTTTTGTTTTCTGCACTGATCACTGTATTTGCCTCTCCGTTAAAATGTAAGCTACACGAGTGTAGGGCCTTTTTGTTCACTATTTCTCTAGAACTGAAACTAGTACCTGACGTATATATGAGTGTGTTCGGTAAATGCTTATAAAGTGATAGCGAACATTCAAGCTGCCTCCAGAAGCTGGGTTGTAAATAAATTTTCTGTTCACATGTAGAATTGAGTTTGCCCTCTTTGGCTGAGGGCATACCGTTCCATTCTAGTGTGCATTTACTATAACTAATGATTTCGTGGAATGTTAAGTGGCTTTAGAGAGCCCAGACTGATTCATTGGTTTAGTCCTGTTCGGTTTTGTGAAATGAAGAAGTAGGGATCCAAAGAGATACCCTCACACAGCTCTTCTGTGGCACAACTCTTGAAGCTGAAGCTCAGAGATAAGATTTACTCAGAAGTGGAACCCAAATACTGGTTTCCAAATTCATTGAATTTACAAGGTTTATGGAATCTGAAAGGCAGGTCTCCTGAATTTGGACGTTTGGTCTGTAGCAAAATGAAACATTTTATTGATGAGGAAAAGCATGCAAACAGGTAGTAATAAAGGAATATGATGCCTGTTCTGGCCTTATGGTTTTTTCCCTTCATGTTTTGAACGGCCATGCCATTGATGTTAGGACCTTACTTGTGGACATAGAGGAAGAAACCAGCATATGGCTTTGTATTTTGTTAAAGCAATGGGTCTTCAATGGAATGTTTGCAAATGTGTAATTAGTAGTTAATGGCTTGGCATTTAATTCATGGTTGCTTTGCATAATCACAAATTAAATTTGGATGTCATGAGGAATGAATTAAGGTTGTGTCCCCTATCTGGTCCGGGAATCGCATTCTTTAAGACAAAGGCTAGTCTGAAAGTGGTATGTGTCACAGGCTAGAGTGTTCAAGGTAGGTAATACGATCTTGATGTTAGGGGTAGTTTTAAAGACTTAATGAATCCATGTTTAATAAAGGAATACAGGAGTCAAGTAAGTATTGAGCACTTTGTTTCAATATTCTAGTCCTAGGAACTCAGTTTAGTTGAAGCAGGGATTTGTGTAACAATAGTTACACAAACATAGTAACAGTTTGTGGTATGAGGACAATACAGGAGTGATTTTTTCTTCTTTTTTTTCTTTCTTTTTTTTTTTTTGGTAGGGTGCTTCCTAAAAAGCTCTTTTTCCAGTCAATATATTTATAGCTTATGTCCAGAGAGACTTTATTTTCCCATCTTATCTTTAGTTGGTTGCAGTTGCCAGCTTTGCTCCTTTCCCCTTTTCCCCACCCCTATGTCAGGTAGGTAATGATTAGTAAAACACTGGAATCTGTTTTGCAGAAGGGGCATGCTTAGGCTCATTTATCTCCTCAAATACATACAAAAATTTCTTGAAGCTGAACTTGTAATTTTAAAATTTCCTTTTTGTAATAAAGCTCCTCAACTTAGTAGGCTTTAGATTTATTTTAAATAAAACGAAGCATGGTAAGGTAGGTACTCCTTTTCATCCGTTTTATTCCATCAGTAACCTATCCATTAGCACCTACTGTGTGCAAGGAATGCAGTATGTAACCAAGACAGTCAGCGGTTCTTGTCCCTCCTGGAGCTTGCTTTTCAGTGAGAGGTTGACAAATAATCATTGCTGGTCTGGGTAAGTACTAAGAAGGAATTTAAAAAGCAGGTGGTTCTTTTGAGGTATCCACATTTTTAAGCTTACATGCTTATGGATGGTTTTAGGACAGTAATGGTGGAAATGTTTAGCCAAGGGTTGAATTCTTGTGGTGTGCCTAACATTGTGCTTGGTTACTCTTGCTTGGTGATAGGAATTGTTTGGATAGAAATGAAGGTTAAGTAGCTTTTCTTTTTTAAGATTTTATTTATTTGAGAAAGAGATCATGAGAAGGGGCAGGGTCAGAGGGAGAAGCAGACTCCCTGCTGAGCAGGGAGACTGATGTGGGACTTGATCCTGGGCCTCCAGGATCATGACCTGAGCCACCCAGGCATCCGAAGTTTAAGTAGCTCTAAGGCAAAATTTTAATTGTTACGTTTAGGTGACTTCCAGTTTTCATTATTAAGGGTGGGTTTTTTTTCCCTTTTTGAGAGCTCTTTCTGCAATGGAGAATGTTGCTGTGCATATATGTTACTTTAAATTTCAGTATGTTGGGGCGCCTGGGTGGCTCAGTGGGTTAAAGCCTCTGCCTTCAGCTCAGGTCATGATCTCAGGGTCCTGGGATCGAGCCCCACATCGGGCTCTCTGCTCAGCAGGGAGCCTGCTTCCTCCTCTCTCTCTGCCTGCCTCTCTGCCTACTTGTGATCTTTGTCAAATAAATAAAATCTTTAAAAAAAAATTTCAGTATTTTTCTAACTCATTTAAATGCAGTTTGACTCAAGCTATGATCTGTTCAAACTTGGAGTAGCTGTGGTCTCAAAGTAATACACATTTTTTAAAACGACCCTTTTTAAAATTAAAAAAAAAAGATTTATTTGAGAGAGTGAAAGAGTAAGTTGGGGACAGGTAAAAGGAGAGGGAGAGAGAATCTCAAGTAGGTCATGACCTGAGTCAAAATCAAAATTTGGCTGCTTAACCATCTGAGCCATCTGGGCACCCCTAAAAAAGACCTTTTGATCATTTTTCGGGCGCCCAGGTGATTTAGTTGTTTATGCGTCTGCCTTTGGCTTAGGTCATGATCCTGGAATCTGGGAGAACGCCAGAGATTCAGCCTCCTGGCTCAGCGGGGAGTCTGCTGCTCTCTCTCCCTCTGCTCCTCCCCCAGCTTGTTCCCTCTCTCAATTAAATAAATAAAATCTTAAAAAATCATTCTTCCTAAGAAGTTCGAACATAGTTCAGAGAATGTGAAAGTCATGCCAAACCACATAGAAATGTGAACATGTTGATGATCATTTATTTAGGTTTCTCTTTTAATATATTTATGGCTAAGTATGCATATAATTTCTTAGTGTTTCCTTGCATTCTTAACTGTTTTTAAACTCTCTTGCAGGGTTTGTCAATGAGGCAGATCAGATTCCGATTTGATGGGCAGCCAATCAATGAAACAGACACACCTGCACAGGTAAAAATCTCTTTGTGTTAACTAGAAAAGTCAGTGTGTTTTGTGATTTGCCCAGCAGCCTTGTTTTTATTTGTAGACTTTTAGACATTGGAGTAGAGTTTTTCACCAGAGTGCAAAACTCTAAAATATCATGAATATTAGTATTTCTTCAGGAAATGTTAGTGGTTTTTAAATATCCAGTTACCATTTTGTAAAGCTGACAGGTCATTTAGTTAATTTAGTCTAATATTTCCCATTGCCAGCACTATGTGGAGACAATACTTCAGAATGCTGTTTTTGTCGCCACAGCTCTTGATCATGCTCCAGGTTCCCAGCAGGTGATTGGTTGGCTGTAGACCCTGAGCATTTTCACTTCTCATGCTGATTTCTCTTTCACCAGCCCTTGTGAACTAAAGGGACCTTGGGGGCTCTAACTGGAAGTCTCTTGATGGTTTAGCTTGATCAGTAGGGTTTTTGATACTAGGTGACTTTCCAAAGCCTTCTGCAAAAGGTGATGCTGTCTGATCCCTTAATCTATTTTTTAATTTTTTTAAAAGATTTTATTTAATGAGCCAAAGGCAGTCGCTTAACGACTGAGGCACCTAGGTGCCCCTCCCTTAATCTCTTTACGAGTCACTTTGCAAGGGATCAGCTGGGTGGTCTTTTGTGGCAAAAGCTCTTCATATTTGTTTCTTTTTACTCTCTGAGATTCCACTCAAGACTTAGTTTGGGGGAAAAATATTTTGATAGAAGTTTAAATTGAAGCCTGTCTACTTTCAAATGTTTTATCAGTCCATAAAAACCAGAAAGTAATAAATATGGTATGAGTGAAGCAGCCTATTCTAGTTGTGTTTTAAAAATTTGAAATGTCTGGGTTGTAATTGAGGAGAGAATGTTTTGAAGTAATTTCCCCTGGTGAGTCTCTAAGAAGCAGTTATAGTAGATAGCCACAAGGAGGAGCTGCGTTCTCTTGGTGAGTGAGAGACAGGAAAGACGCTTCTATCCTTTGAGGCATTTCAAGTTTCACTGTAAAATGTAACATCCCTGGGGTTTTATATCAGTAGATAGGCTGAAGACCTGTTTTGATGGTTTAAAAAGAATAAAAACCTATTTACACTAAACTCGGATGTTTAGAATGCATTTGCTGTCTTTTGATTTTCTCATCTGCCACCAAAAACAAGTTCTGGTCTCTACATTGCTGGCTGCGAATATTAAACTGTGAGAAGGATTTGTTTGGAACTGCATTATGAAATTTTACGTTGAAAGTGGACTCGAACTCCTTTGAGTATTGGGAATTGAATTTGCTGTAGAATGAAACTGATTCATTTTAGAATTACTCTCCCAATGTTTATTAAATAGTAGAATTATATAAAATAGAATATCTTGGGGTGGCTGGGTGGCTCAGTGGGTTAAGTGTCTGCCTTCAGCTCGGGTCATGGTCTCAGGGTCCTGGGATGGAGCATGGGCGTTGGGCTCTCTGCTCAGCAGGGGGGCCTGCTTCCCCATCTCTCTCTGCCTACCTCTGCCTACTTGTGATCTCTCTCTGTGTCAAATAAATAAATAGAATCTTTAAAAAAAAATAGAATATCTTAATGACCAGTTTTAATAGTAATGTAATTATGTGTCCACATTCTGTTAAATACTCTCTTCGACTCATTTAATTCTCATAACTGAATGCTATTTCATTTTACAAAGAGGGAATTGAGACTTAGTAACATTTTATTTTAAAGATTTTATTTATTTATTTATTTGACAGAGACACAGTGAGAGAGGGAACACAGGTGGGGGGAGTGGGAGAGGGAGAAGCAGTCTTTCTGATGAACAGGGAGCGTGATGTGGGGCTGGATCCCAGGACCCTGGGATCATGACCTGAGCCGGAGGCAGAGGCTTAACCCATGGAGCCACCCAGGCGCCCAAGTCATTAACATTTTAATGCTATGGTCCTACTTTAGTGTTTTTGAAGTTTGTTGGAAATGATTCTGTTTCTTGTCTTTAGGTACCCAGGGTTCTTGTTTTGTATTTTGTTTTTTTCTTCCCAAATTACCAGTTTTTAGAACATATTTTTTTGAGGGTAATTATCAGCATAATAAACTGTTACAAAGGTTATTTATTTTACAGCGCTGCCATATGTACCAAGATTTTGCTATTGTGGTAGAAAGGATGGTTTTATGTATGGGTAGTGAGTCTTGCAAACTTGGTTTGTGAGTAGCAGTTTAAAATTTAAAGTACTTTCTTAGTAAGTCTGTCCTTACATGTATCCCCTCCCTTACTGCACAGAGCTAACTGCCGTGCTGTGTGTGTGCGCATACACACACACACACACAAAACTTATAGAAATACAAATATAGTCATACTGTAACCAATTTTTCTGTCTCGTTTTTTTGTGTTTTTTTTTTTTTGTTTGTTTTGTTTTGTTTTAAGATTTGATTGAGCATGAGCAGAGGGAAGGGGAAAAGGAAGAGGGGGAGAGGGGATCCCAGGCAGACCCTGCACTGAGCCCAGAGCCCAGCTTAAGGTTGGATCTCACAACCCTGAGATCATGACCCAAGTTGAAATCAAGTGTCAGGTGCCCAGCTGACTGAGCCACCCAGGCACTCTGCTACCTAGTTTTCAAATTTGTTTTTAGCCTAATATTGTATCTTAGGGATAGTTCCATTTCTACACATGTAAATTTGTGTGGTGTTTTATGTTAAGAGTGTATCACATTTCTTTGAGTTTTTTATATTTAGGTTATTTCCAGGGTTTTGCTCATCTGAACAACATTGCAGTGAGGTCCTTTACACGTATCATTTTTATTTTCATTTATTTTGTTTTTATAGTATTTACTTTTATCATGATGAATTATTTTACCTTTTATTTTTTTTTAAGATTTTATTTATTTGACAGATAGAGATCACAAGTAGGCAGAGAGGCAGGCAGAGAGAGAGGAGGGGAAGCAGGTTCCCTGCTAAGCAGAGAGCCAGATGGGATGGGTTGTGGGGCTGGATCCCAGGACCCTGGGATCATGACCTGAGCCAAAGGCAGACGCTTTAACCCGCTGAGCCACCCAGGTACCCCTATTTTACCATTTTTATAACTTTTTTTTTTTTTTAAAGATTTTATTTATTTACTTGACAGCCAGAGATCACAAGTAGGCAGAGAGGCAGGCAGAGAGTGGGGGTGGGGTGGCGGGGGAAGCAGGCTCCCTGCTGAGCAGAGATTCCAGGACCCTGAGATCATGACCTGAACCAAAGGCAGAGGCTTTAACCCACTGAGCCACCCAGGCGCCCCTATAACGTTTTTATTTTCAATAAGTAAGAGTGAGGCGATTTAACTCATGGACATATTCAGCTTTTTCACTTAAAATTCTTGTTTTTTTAAGATTTTATTTATTTATTAGAGCACACACAAGCAGGGAGGAGGGGCAGAAGAAGAGGGAGAAGCAGACTCTGGTGAGCAGGAGCCTGATGTGGGGCTCCATCCCAGGACCCTGGGATCATGACCTGAGCCAAAGGCAGATGCTTAAGCGACTAAGCCACCCAGGCACTCCCAAGCTTTTTCACTTAAAAACTAAGCTTTCGGGGCACCTTCAGTGGGTTAAGCCTCTGCCTTCGGCTCAGGTCATGATCTCAGGGTCCTGGGATCGAGCCCTACATCGGGCTCTCTGCTTAGCAGGGAGCCTGCTTCCCTTCCTCTCTCTCTCTGCCTGCCTCTCTGCCTACTTGTGATATCTGCCTGTCCAATAAATAAATAAAATCTTAAAAAAAAAAAGGCAACAACTCCCACCCCTCCTTTCAAAAAAACAAAACAAAACAAAACAAAAAACCCCTTAAGCTTTCCATAATCTTCATATAAGGAAGACCAAGTGAAAAATTAAACCGAAGACTGATGCTACATTAAGCTGTAGGATGTCTACAGTAATGAACACTGGATTTGGGTGGAACTTGTGGCGTTTTGGGGGTACTTAAGTCCTAGAGCTAAAAATCTTAAGAGCTGATAATCAGTGGCCTTCCATTTGTTTTTCTTCTCTCATATGCCAGTTGGAAATGGAGGATGAAGATACAATTGATGTGTTCCAGCAGCAGACAGGAGGTGTCTACTAAAAGGGAGCCTGCTACTTTACTCCGGAACCCTCTTCCTCCAGACCAAGAAGACATTCTCACTTAGCCGCAATTTGGTTCCACCACATCCTGACTACTACAGTATAGTTTTCTCTATTCTTTCATTTTCCCCTTCCCCATTCCTTTATTGTACATAAAGTAACTGTGTATGTGCACAAGCATATTGCATTTTTTTTAACTAAATGGCCAATGGTATGTTTTGATCGACATCAAATGGAGATGGGTTGGGGGAAAATACTGCTTCTGTGAAAATACCCCCTCTCTCCATTAGTGGCATGCTCAGTCAGCTCTTATCTTTATATTCCAGTAAGTTATTTTGCTCTCACTGTTTAACAAAAAAAAAGAACAACATAAAAATCCTTGCATACCTTGTTCGATTGGAGAATTTTAATGTTTTTCATTTATCATTGTAAAACCAAGGACAATTTTATAACTTTTTTGTACGTAGCTGTTACATGTAGGGCAATCTGTCTTTAAGTAGGGATAAATTACTCTAAAAGAAATGAATCCTAGATAGTTTTCCCTTCAAGTCAAGCGTCTTGTTGTTTAAATAAACTTCTTGTTTAAAATGAGCTGTTTTCTTTATTCTGAAGAATATTGAGAAGCTTAGAAAAAAACCATGAAATGAGTAGGCCTACTAGAAGTAACATTTCAAGGAAGACAAAGCTACATTGCATTCCTGACAGACTGATACAAAACAAAGAATAACAAAGTTTATAAGTGACTAGCAACTAATGTTTCAGCCTCTGTGTTTAAAAAGCTTAGGCAGTTCCAAATATGCAACTTTACTAGCAAAAAAAAAATTGGGTCATAATGTGGATTTATTCCCAAATATTCTTTTCTGTAACCACTACCTGGCAGAATGGGTTAGTACATGCAGCTAAGAGAAAGTTCTGAATTTGCTAACTGCTGATAAATCACTTAAACATGCTAGCCTCTTTTGGTGAATAAATATTCCCTGACCCAAAATAGAGTCTTTGTTCCTTGAGGATGTTGAAGGCCAGTAAATATTTATGCACATATATCCACTCTTAGAGCCTTAAATATGCAGGGCACCACAGTTTTTAAACCCAAATGTATGAGGAAGGGTAACAGCTATAGAACCAGTAAATAGAATCTTAGAGTTGGAAAGACAGATTACCTAACTCTAACCCCTGTTTTAGAGATAAGGAAGCTGAGGCCCTGAGGGTTGTTACTTATCACACAGCTAGATGATTGTGAAACTAGGACTAGAGAACAGGTCTCGTGCCTGTTAATTAGGTTCTTCTGTATTGGTTCTCAAGAAACTGAATTTCCACCCCTGCTATTCACCAATGTGGCCTTTTGGGATTGAGTCCCCATGTCCTATCATGCCTTGTCATTCACTTAGTTCACTCTACCACTGTTGCAGTATGTGTTTGTTTTGTTTGTTTGTTTTACATCCACTTTTATGGTGAGCGAGCTTCCCTAGACAGCAGGTGTTCTGTAGGTTTTTAAAGTTTTCTTTATTGAAGTAATCTCTACACCCTGTGTGGGGCTTGAACTCATGACCTCAGGATCAAGCATTGCATGCTTTTCTGACAGCCAACCAGGCTCCCCTATTCCATAGTTCTTTCGCTCTGTATATATGAGTTAATCTTGAACCAACAACTTTTATTTTCCTGTATGTATAGTGTTACCAACCTCCGTTTACAATTTGTATTGTGCACCTGTGTGGGAAGGCTACCACCCAAGAAATCTTAGATCAGGTAAGTGCATGTCTCTTGAGATGTTGTACTAGGTACTGTTGAATGGTGGACTTTGGTGGTGCCCTAAAAATTTAAAAATTAGGATTGAAATTCAAGCCAGGGAACTTTATTATATACAGGGTCTTGAATTGTGTTCTTGTTTAATTAGGAGTTTACTGATTAATGTCTGAGCTTTTGCCATATTGGGGGGGAATATAAACTTTATAGTAGGAAAACCTGTTAGAATTTTAAAAGCCAGAGGAGAAAGCATGGAAAAGGCACTGTTTGGTAATGTGTGTTGTAGCTTATTAATAGTTGGGTCAGTGTATAACTACCACTGTTGTTAAGTATTCTTCATTGTTCCCGTTTCACTTACCTTGTTACCATAAAGACAGATTTTCTATGCAAGAACTTAAGGAGCTTTTTTTTTTTTTTTTTAAAGGGTGTTTTGTTTTGTTTTGTTTTTTAGTAATCTCTACCCAGTGTGGGGCCTGAACTCATGGCCCCAAGATCAAGAATTGCCCACTCTCAGGGCGCCTGGGTGGCTCAGTTGGTTAAGCCTCTGCCTTCAGCTCAGGTCATGATCCCAGGGTCCTGGGATTGAGCCCCACATCGGACTCTCTGCTGGGCAGGGAGCCTGCTTCCCTTCCTCTCTCTCCGTGTGTGCCTCTTTGCCTATTTGTGATCTCTGTCTATCAAATAAATGAATAAAATCTATAAAAAAAAAATTGCCCACTCTTCCAACTGAGCCAGCCAGCTCCTCAGCTCCCTGAGGAGCGCTCTTTTTTTTTTTTTTTTTTTAAGGATTTTATTTATTTATTTGACAGATCACAAGTAGGCAGAGAGGCAGGCAGAGAGAGAGGGGGAAGCAGGTTCCTTGCTGAGCAGAAAGCCCGATGCGGGGCTCGATCCCAGGACCCTGAGATCATGAGCTGAAGGCAGAGGCTTAATCCACTGAGCCACCCAGGAGCCCCTGAGGAGTGCTTTTTAAAGAACACTTTGAAAATAAGTGAATTGTTGAAAATGCTGGAAGTAATCTTTGCATTTTAATTTTTTTACCTTTGGTGGGGAGGTTCAAATGATGGGAGTTATACTCCCATTTTGATTAATTGTTGCAACAATTGAACTGAACTCTTTCTGGCTGCTCTCACATTAATATCCCCATATTTATATCCTGAAAGTAGGAAATAGTGTCTAAATGAACATAGTTCTGTACAGGGAAATGAGAGAATTTTTCTTCCGAAGCACCCCTCCTATTCACACTGCTTGAGGCCAAAACAAAAGGTATTAGCAACTTTTCAGAAATAGGAGTGTCAAGTTGGTTCATTTTTTTTTTTTTTGCTTGTTCATGTTTTTGTGGAAATTACTGTAACCTGATGATCAGTTTATTTTCTTATTTAAATTCGATTAGCCAACATACAGTATATCATTAGTTTTTGATGTAGTGTTCAATGATTCATTAGTTGCTTTCTAACACCTCGTTTATATTCTCCCGAAAGGGGATGATATGGAAGGGAAGGTGGTGAGTAGCAGCATAGAGGAGAAATGGTAGACTTGGGTCAGAGTGTGTAGGGCTATAGGGAGATTGTGCCAGCAGGAGCTCGGTGGGAAGTGGAATCCCCGGACAGGAGGGAAGCCTTTTGGGGCCCTTGTAGGCATTAGGGTGTATTGGAGAGGGCCAGCTGTGCTGGTTCGGGTTATTTTTGAGTTCAGATATTGCTGCAGTGATTCTGGATTGTGGTTTTTCATTAGAATCCCCTGGTGAGCTGTTAAAATCATACCAATGCCTGAGTCCTACCCCTAGACATATATTTTCACAGCAGTGGAATGAGAAGCAATTCTGGGAGGCATCATCACAACTCTTAAGAGTTAATAATCAGGGGCGCCTGGGTGACTCTGGGTTAAGCCTCTGCCTTCGGCCCAGGTCGTGCTGTCAGGGTCCTGGGATCCGAGCCCCACGTCCAGCTCTCTGCTCAGCGGGGAGCCTGCTTCCCCATCTCTCTCTGCCTGCCTCTCTGTCTACTTGTGATCTCTCTGTCAAATAAATAAATAAAATCTTAAAAATAGAGTTAATAAGCAGGGGCGCCTGGGTGACTCAGTGGGTTAAGCCTCTGCCTTCAGCTCGGGTCATGATCTCAGGGTCCTGGAATCGAGCCCCGCATCAGGCTCTGTGCTCTGTGGGCTCCCCTCACCCCCACCTGCCTGCTTTTCTGCCTACTTGTGATCTCTGTCTGTCAAATAAATAGATAAAATCTTAAAAAATATTAATAAGCACCTAATGGATGGTGAAGATGACATGAGATAATGAATGTTTCAGCCACCTAGCACGATGCCTCCCACGAACTCTTTAAAAGTTATTATTTTCGGTGTGCAGTAAAGGCTCTGCCATAGGATGCTGAGGCTTCAACAGAATTCTGTGATCTGTGCCCATGCCTGTACTTAACATATAAAGGCCAAGAATTTTCTATTCACTTCTGAAACAATGTAGTCTTCATCTTGTTAGGCTTTTAAATAAATGCTTAATGCTAAATTGTGCCCTAAGGAGTCTTTAAGGAAAAACAGTCCTGAGGATTTTAATGATTTTCTAATATTCTGAAAACCAAAAGACCTAGCCACAACATGCTTTGGCATTCTCATTATGTAGGTGGTGATCTGAGAGCTGGCCCTCCATATAGCAGCATACACAGGTGCTTTTTTGAGACTTTAGTCTGTAAAGTGGTTAGTTAGCTAATGAAAAGAGTCCCGTAGAGTGGAACATAATTAGAATAGAGCATATAAACAGGTTAGGAATTTAATCTATTTGGAATGTGGAGTGTTATTTCCCTGTAAGCAGTGACATGTGACTATGAGATCATTTTAGGATTTCCTATACCCCTGGGGCCTTTATGAAACCGTTTAAAGTCTCAGAATTGTTGTGTAATGTTTGCTTTCTTGCAGTTCGTATTTTAAGGCATATTATATGGCTAACTTTGCCACAAGTTACAGAATTTGGAATATTAAGAATCTTCTCACATTTTTCAGGGCATGCTGTTTAAAATTATTTGATGTTTGTAATTTTAGCAATTATTTTTGCAAAGGAGGCCAAATTCATCTCTAGGAGAGCAGGACAGATGGTTTAGGGGAGTTTTTTGCTTGTTTATTAAATGAAGAAATATTAGCTTGGGATTGGGGAAGGCGAATAAACTTAAATCCACATCATTTTATTCAGGTCAGTCTGAGAGAAGGGGAAAGGATGAGAAGATAGGAATCATGCTGTCCCTCCACAATCCAGTGATTAAAAAGGATCTGAGAGTGGCATGTCAGATCTAGTAGGGAGT